TGTGTGCTCGCGTATCCGAAACATTCAGAAGGAGCAGTCAGTGCAAGCATGAAGCACTTGATATCTCTCGCGTGCGCTGCACCTGGCTATGTTTCACCGCTCACGAGGGGGGGCGCGATGAGCATGCATTCACTTCGAGGTCATAATCTGACTGCTGTGCTGTACCTATACGAGTGAGGTCGCCATTGCCACCAACAAGAGCAGAAGCAATAAAGTCAAAGTTTGCCTCGACCAGCGTCCTCGCTTGCGTCGGTTTCGTCGCTGTCCTCGCTATCCATGCTGTCGTCTTCATCACCATCCGATCCGCTCACATCGTCATCCTCGCCACCAAGATCTCTCCTTTCCATTTCATAACCCAATTTGCTGAGTTGCTCCTCCATCTCCGCAGCGCGCGATGGGGAGGCGGCAATTGCGCAGATGGACGTTTCCGGATCGAAAAGGGGCAGGACGTACTGCGAGAGAATACGCTTGATGTCGGCAAGACCAACATTTTCAATGTCTTGCAATAATCGTCGGCCTCTGCCTTTGCCCGTGCCCTTGAGCACAGCATCGACAAAACTCTGAGTAGCCGCTTGGCTCACTGTGCCTTCGGAGTCAGCCACAGAGAAATGCAGAGAGCTCTTGGCGCTCTCCAGAGTGGTCGCGTCGATCGCCATTGTGCCTTCCGCAAGCGCAGTAATGACTTTCTTGGCTTCCAAGAATGCCTTTGCAGAATCCGGGCTGCGGTACAGCGAAAAGGTGATATGGCCAGCTTCGGCGTCGTTTCGGATAGAAGCACCGTACGCCAGGCCGGCGCCGCGGATAAAGCGCCACAAGTAAGACTCCATTGCGTTCAAGACTGCCAGGGTCACCGTCATGGCAGCAGAATCCACTTGCTGAAAGCCATGGAGGCCTTTGGCCGTGAAAACAGCGTATGAGCTTTCGATCGTAGGCATTGCGCACAGAACACCCTGGAACAAGCCAAAGAGATCAGTGATCGATAGTCGAATAGAAGCAACACGATCGGTTTGCCTAGCTACTCACCTTGCGCTGGGGCTTTTTGCCAATGTCGGTCAGGATTTCATGCGCCCATGTCACTGGCTCAGTGGGGTTCGGCGGCCAGCTCTGA